TAGTCATTTTAATCATAAGAGTAATAAGAAGCACAAAAAATAGAATAGAAATAAAATCACGTGGAGAAGAAAAAGGAATCAAAGGCCAAGAAAAAACAGCTAGCAACGCAGAAGAAGTAGATGAAAAATGAAAAAAAGCCACAAATTGAGAAAATATAATTTATTAGTTTAAATTAACAATAGACTAATAAAGTAAAGTTTTTTTTTCTTAAAATTATTTAGACATGCATGAATTGATATATGATAAGTTGAATTCTCACACATATCATTGTGTTAATTTTTCCTTTTGGAAGAAGTCAGAAATATTAGGACTGAATTGCAGAAGAACAATTTGAAAAAGAGAAAGTTGAAGTCAAGGACCCAGATGAATAAATAAAACGTATAAAGATCAAAGTGCGGAAAAAGTAAAAGTTGAGACACCCATAAAAAAACAAAATTGCTTCTTACTCCAAAATCCCGACACCCAAACTCTTCCTGTAGATTGATGGGCGTACCGACACATGTTATTAAGGTGTCCATACTTGGGGATTTTCAGCATATATTCACACAAAATTCTAATTATTGTGGCATTAGTCCCACTTCTCTTTTAAGGTATCTTTAAGTCCTATAAATGCCTATTTATTTTAATATATTGATTTTTTAGTTTTAATTTAAACCTTAATTTCTTAAGTAAGTTTGTTAAGTTTGAAGAATACATAAATAATCCTAATCCTTCTCAAATAATTTTTACATTCTAATATATATAAAAAAAAATTAAGAACCTTATACTTCAATTTTTTTCACAAAAACTTAGGTGGCAGTAATTTAATTTAGAATATTTATATGGGCTGGGTGTGAAATAATGCTTGTTTTCATGTATTTTACACTTCCATCCTTCAAGTCCTTCCTATTGATACAATAAGATTCTCTTGTTGATTTTCACCTGCATTTGCTAAGCATCTTCCAAGAAATACACTTCCATCCTTCAAGTCTTTCTTTTTGATACAATAAGATTCTCTTGTTGATTTCACTTGCATTTGCAAAGCAGCTTCCAGGAAATGCACCACGCTATTGCCTAGGACCTATTTAAGTTCTTTCTTCTCCATAGTTGGCTCATCAACTCATAGCATCAGAAATTGAACCTGCTGCTACTTCTAACAATTTGCTTTGCAAGGTTCAAGTTGGTTATCAGTGTCCTACTTTACCTATTTCTTCTGCTAATCTTGCATTGTAAGTACACCATCTATCTATCTTCAAGATTCTGTTTATTTTTTTCTTTAATATATATCTCAGTGTTTCTTATGGATTAATTCATGATCATGTTGTCAGATTTAGTTTATGTTTTTTTCATTAGTTTTTTTTCAGATTCTCATTATCATTATACTAATTTTTTTTCTTTTTTTGAGCAATTTGTTAGATTCCTCATTTTCATATTTTGTGCTTTTACCTAGTAATTAATTTGTAGCCACTTAATTAATTGATACTTTATTTAAGGTATCTCTTTGTTTTGGTCATTTCAAGAAAAATAATATAAAAATGTATATCTCTTTATAATCTTATTGGAATTATGTTTTTCTTCTCGAATATTTCATCAACCTTTTTCATAAGAAAGAATAGACTCGAAATTGAAATCGAGCAAATCTATTATATATATGCTACCTTCTAATTTGTTTTTGTGGGCCTAATTTGTTTCTCATTAGTGTCTACTTCTTTTAATACCTTTTTCTAAACCTATAGCAACGCAACTCCTTCAATTGTGCTCTCTTTTAAGTATAAAATGACCAAAGTATATACATTTTTATTGACCAAAGAAATACATTTTTTTTTCTAAGGTGTAGTAGTCTTGCATTAGATTTTTATTGGTTGTTTTAGGAATTATTTATTACTTTGAAAACTTTGACCTACTATGAACGGAATTTAAGTAAAATATTTTTTAATGAAAATTTCATTAAAATGGTGTAAATTTAAGATTTTTTTTTATTAATTTTCTTCTTTTGTATTCTCATTTTCATTTTTCTTCAAATTGCTATATTACTTGTTGTCCTATTGTTTGATTTTGTCTAATTATTTTTTAGCTATTTAATTGATAATCTTGCGAGGCAGTTCAAGTAAATTAATATAAAGGAGTATGCCTTCTAGTGATCATATTTGAATCATATTTTTTCTTTCAGGGAATATTCATCAATCAAACCTCCCTTTATCACAAAGAATAGGCTTGCAATTACAATCACGAAGATCTGTCGTACGCTACTTCTAATCAACTTGGCCCAATTTGTTCGTGTCCAATTTCTTAAGTATCTTCTTCTAGATCTGCAGGTACACAACTCCTTCTGTCAGATTCTTTTTAGGTATAAAATGAAAGTAGAATTATTTTTTCTGTACGGGTTGCATAAAAAAAAATCTTTTAAATACTGAAATTATTAAAAATACTATTAATAA